AGCACAAGGGGTGATAATTATTCAGTCCTGTCATGTGAGGTTGGCTAAGGGAATAAGCCACTTCTGTGCTTTTTAATTAGTAGGTGGTTCTGTCTTTTTAACTGTAGAAGACATATGAATAGTGCATGTTCCTTTAAGGGAAACTGGTTTGTCTCCAGAAAAACATTTCTCTGCCTTCAGAAGTATGTGATCAAAACCCAGGAGGGGACAGTCTCCTGATGGTCTTTGGGTCAGCCTTGTGAGATGCTGGTCCATTCCTGGACTCCTGGGAGCTGCCTTCCCCTTCCGTCCCTTCATTCTGAACTTGATCTTGTTACAGAGTGAGAGAGATCATCCATTCATTGGGGAGCAAGCACATTCCTGTTCTGGGTTCACAGACCATAATGGGTGGTTAACAGATAGCGTTTAATACCTGTCTCGTTCTTTTCTTTTTTCTTTTTAGAATTGAGCACAGGATTTTTCAGAGCTCTACACAGTAAAACCATTAAAAGAGATGGACAACTGAGAACAAAATCTAGTGGAGAGGGTGAAAGAAAAATTAGGAAATAAGTCAAACCACATTTCCTTCCACTGATAGATAGACTATGATGTGAAGATCTTGTCCCCAAAAGGTCCAGTGTTAGTTACAGGAAAAGTATTTACAAGAGTTGACCTCATTTCCTTTTTCCTTCTTCTACACACTCACCTCTCTGCCTTTCCCCCCTTCCTGGTTCTTTGGGGAAATCAGATTTTATTTTAGGGTATTTTTAACATTCCTCCTTAAATGTCAGCTCTGTGGTCCTCTGTCTTGAGGCTTTGCTCTGTATCCTAGCAACTGGTATCCTACAAGGTCCTCAACTGCTTCATTAGCCTGAAGGGTGAAGATCAAGCAAATGGGACCCTGAAGGGGTGAACAGGAGCAGATTTGCAGTCAAAGCCAGTCTCTGGAATGATTAAGTAATGTGGCTGAAGAAGAGTTATTGGATAGCAGTGCCTCCAAACTAAAAGGCTTCTCTCAGCCCAGAGATAGGGGGAGGCCAGGATGGTGGAGGGGGTGGGGTGGTGAGGAGAAGTAGAGAGTTGCATCCTTGAAATCATAGGCATGTCCTTTGCCTGGAAATTTCTGTTGTAATTGCTAAATCACAGTAAGGGAAGTAGAAATTGAATTTTGGACCAGGTCACCATTCTTCATTTGTCTGATGAGGTAGAAAGTTGGCATATGGAAGAACACACTTCAGAGGGGGAGAAATTGGACAGAGGTGATGATTTTCTGCAGGACGTTATTATATACTATCTACATGGATGCTGAGTGGATGGGTTGCTTCTGTAAAGAAATGCAGAGCCCCTGTGGATGGCTGGGGAAGGTGGGGGCGGTGGAGGGGGGTACAGCGGGCAGTGTGAGGATGACAGCAGGCCTTGGGTGCCTTTCCCTGGATTGCTTGTCATCCTTCTGCATAATGTGCAGGAAGATATTTCTCTGCATAACTATTCTTTCTGCTTTTTTCTTCGTTTTTGAAGATCTAAAATTAGTTTTGTTTACTGCAGACTTTATCACCTCAACATTTAGAATACTTATTCTGTGTGTGTGTGGGAAAATCTTAGGACAGATTTTAAGATTTAAATTAAAATTTTCATCTTTTAATTGATACATAAAACATCAAAATTGTATGTGTTTATGGGGTACAGGATGATGTCTCTATATGTATATACATAACATGATGTTTAAAGTAGGCTAGTTATATTTACCTTCTTATATTTTTCTTTCCTTTCCCTTTTCTTTTTCTCTTTCCTTTCCTTTTTTTTGTGCCAGTACTGTAGCTTGAACTCAGGGTCTTGTACTGTTCCTTACCTTTCTTCATCCACTTAAGATTAGTGTTCTACTGCTTGAGCCATACCTCCATTTCTGGAGTTTTGGTGGTTAATTGGAGATGAGTCTCTCAGAGTCTTTGGCTTGAACTTTTATCCTCAGATATCAACCCCTGAGTAGCTGGGATTACAGATGTCAGCTACCAGCACCCAACTCATATTTATCATTTCTTTATGATAAAAAATACTCAGATCCTTTCTTCTACCTATTCTTGTGAAATATTCGCCCTACCGTGCATTAGCACACAGGGACTTCTAGCTGTTATCCAACTGTAACAGTACTTACTGATTGATCACTCTTCTTCTTCTTCCCTTCAGCACTGCTGTCCCTGGCCTATGGGATCCACCATTCTATGCACACTTCCAAGAGATCAGTTGTTTTAGGTTCTACAGGTGAATGGGACCATGTACTGTAGTCCTGTGCCTGCCTCATTCAGTTAACATAATGACCTCCAGTTCTATCTATGTTGTGCCACATGGCAGAATTTCATTCTTTGTTTGGGTGAATAGTATTCCATTGCTATATAATGATGTATTTGGGCTTTCCTGTGTAGTAGTGCTTCTTCCTCTCTCTCTGGGAAGTGTTGTGTGTGGCCGGGGAGAGACTTCCTTGAATACTGCCTGCACTAAAAGCGTTTGATCTATGTTTTCTCCTCCTTCACATCTCTTCATTACACACCTGGCCTGGTATATTACTGATTACTTTCTCTTTTATACTGATCATTTTTTCTTTTTGCTGACCCCTTCATGGTACAGATGCAATGATTACACTACAGTCTCTCTTACTTTATTGAATGTCCAGAAGATAGAAATTAGTCCTGTCTGTCTATAGCCTGATGTGGAGACTTTGCCATTTATTTACCAATGCTTATTGCATTTTGACTGGATCATACAAGTTCACCATTCTCCGTAGATATAACAATGGAGTGGGATAAGCTGTCAGCTCACAGAGGTGACATTCTGAGGGTGAGGGAAGATGGCTAATAAGCAAAATAAATAAGTAAAATCATATGCACAGAGTTCCATGTGTGGATATGTGTGCTCGCGCACACACAGAGCACAATGCTTGGAGGACTAAATTAGCAAATGCACCTCTAGAAGGGACAAAGAGGATGGGGTAAAATTAATTGAGAATGGCAGGTTCTGATGTAAAGCAGCTCTACAGAATGTCATTCTGGCCATGCTGTTCTGCATACAGAAGAGATAGGTGTGTGTGTGTGTGTGTGTGTGTGTGTGTGTGTGTGTGTGTGTGTGTGTGTGTGTGTGAATATGTGTGTGAATATGTGTGTGAATATGTGTGTGTGAATATGTGTGGCTCTCTGTAGGGTAGCAGAGATTTTATCCTCATTCTTGTTTACCACATTACAAGAATGGTTTAGTTGAAAACATACAAGGCCACAGCCTTGTACTTTTCTAATGGATGTTAGTTTGTGCTCAGTAATAAAGTTATTTTTCCCCCTGAGTATTTGCAGTGTGCCAGGCACTGCTTTGAACTTTTCTCCTCATATGGAGATGGGGAAGCCCCAGCTATACCCACTTTCCAAAGGGGAGGGCCAGGCCAGAGGCCGCTTCTGCTGCTTATGGCAGTGTTATGCAGCTAGAAGATGACAAGTGCTCCAACCCCAGTATCTCTGCTGTGATTCTGGTATAGAATCTACAAAATTGGAACCACCTCCTTTTTCTCTTCTTCTTCTTTTTGGCAGTACTAGGATTGGAGCTCAGAGGTCTTGTGCTAGCTAGGCAGCATGATACCACTGAACCATGACTCTAGTCTGGTCTTCACTGGTTATTTTTAGGCTAGAGTCTGGCTATTCCAAACAAAAACCTTCAGTTCAAGCTGTGAGTTCTCTGCTGGAAGACAGTGTCATTGCTGGTCACACTGACCATAAAGATGTTCAGGTCTGCCATCCCAGCTACATCCTGGGGTTCTGGGCTTATTAAAAAAAAGACCCTATGTTGGAAATGAGCAGTATAGAAAGGACCTGGCAGTGTAGCTCACATGGTAAAGCACCTGCTTAACAAGCACGAACCCTGAGTACCTCCAATAAAGAAATAAAAATTACAGCTTTATTGAGATATGTTCCAAGGCCCCCAGAATATACTTTTAAAGTATACTTGCCGGGCACGGTGGCTCACACCTGTAATCCTAGCTACTTGGAAGGCTGAGATCTGAGGATCGTGGTTCAAAGCCAGCCTGGGCAGGAAAGTCCCTGAGACTCTTAACTCCAATAAACCACCAGAAAACCAGAAGTGGTGCTGTGGCTCAAGTGGTAGAGCGCACGCCTTGAGCTGAAAAGCTGAGAAACAGTGCCCAGACCCAGAGTTCAAGCCCCATAACTGACAAAAAATAAAAAAGTACTTTTTTTTTTTTTTGTTGGGAAAAGTTATTTATGGAATTGTGCAACCAGAAACACAATTAATTTCAGAACATTATCATCATCCCATTATAAAAAAACAACTTGTACCCATTAGCAGTGGCTCCCCATTTCTCCTTCCTATCAGTCATGCATCTACTTCCTGTTTTTATGTATTTATTTGTCTTTTCTGGACATTTCCTGTATGTGGGTCCACACAACATGGGCTCTTTCATGTTTGGCTTTTTTTACTGAGTGTAATACATTCAAGGGACATCTATACTATAGCACCCACCAATGCTTCTTGCTTTGCATTTCCTAGTGAATGGATGAACAGGTCTCATTTTGTATGGCCACTTATTCTTAGAGATGGGCATGGGTCTACTTGTTGATTGTTAATGAACAATGTTTCTTACACATGTATATACATGTTCTTTATATGGCATATGTTTTCAGTTCTTTGGGCATATGTTTTCAGTTCTCTTGGCTATAAACATAGGAATGGAATTTCTGGGTCCTATTCACTGAGTTTAGTGTTTAAATTGACTTCTTTTTGCTTGTGGGATCTGCATCCTTAGTTTTTGCAAGTGAAAATAAATTCACTTCCTCGGTGCTGAGTGTTGTCAACAGCTTGATTTAACGTGAACACATCTGGGGCCCAGGTTAAGATTCTGTGAGCGAATCATGTAATCATAAGTACGCTTATTGTGTAGAGTTGATGCTTGATTGTATTTGTTTTGTTCTCTTCCTAGCTTCTTCTTACTCTAATATTCACCCAATTTTTTTTCTTTTCTTTCCCAGAATCGCAATGAAATAAAAAACGGCACTATTCTACGATTAACTACATCTCCAGTAAGTTGATCTTAGTTGGTTATTTCATCTTAAGCTGCCTACCCTCTGGGTCTGCTGTATGTGCTTATAGAATGCTGTTTTTTGAGAGTGACTGTACTCTAAAACAGAAAGTCCCTGGGATGTCCTCATGGGCAGAGTCTAGTTTAATTGGAAGTCTCTCCAGTTTATTTCCCATGGCAGAGGAGGAGGAACCTATTCTACTGTGAACAGAGAATGGATTGGGAATCATGGAATTGGAGTTTGGTACCCATCTCAATAGCTCTTACAGTACTGATGAATAACTTGGCTATGTAGATTTTTTTTATCATCTTCCCTGAGCAAATTCAGAGAAACAAAGCAAGTCAAACTAAAAACAGGCTGTTTCTTTATTTAAAATCTATGTGGGGGGGGGGGGAGAGAAAAGGAGGTGGGAGGAAGGGAAGGAGGGGGAAAGAGAAAGACAGAGACAGAGAGACAAACACAAAGACAGGTTGAATTTATATATTTCCTAGTGTTGGTCAGTGATGATGAAAATTGATGAAAAAATGGATAAAAACTGATTTAAAATAGTAAATGTTGGGCCATTTAGGCTGTTTCATGGATGCTAATCAGAACTCAAGCATATCTGCGCATGAAAGCTGTTGAACAAGCTGCCTGTGGCACTTGGCAGTGAATGGGTGGCATCCTGGTCTTTCTTGTTTCCTGGTCTAGTTGGGGTAGTAACATTAGCATATTTGAGCCATATTGTTCCACACTGCATTTCCTTGCTTTCCTAAAAAATACAAGCAGCACAAAATATACCAAGTGTTACTATTTCTACCCGCACAGTTGAGGAAAACTGTGTCTATCTATCATTTCTAGTTGTCACTAAAGCCATGTGGTAGGCTAAAAATAAATTTCAAAATGGAGAAGAAAGCATCTGGCTAGAATTAAACTCTGGGCAGTGTAACTACCACAGATCCATCTTGTTGAAAATTACATTAGAGAGGTTTAAAAACTGCTAAGTATTTTGCTTTCATTTAAATTGGTCTATTAATTTTTTAATTTTTATTAGTATTGTAAGGCGATGTGCAGAGGAGTTAGAGTTACATGAGTCAGGCATTGATTACATTTCTTTATGGACAGTGTCACCCCCTCCCTCATTTTTTCTGTTTTATTTTTCCCCTCCTCCGCCCCCCGCCCCGATTCCCCACGTTCTATAGTTCATTTCCAACACAGTGTCTTGTGACTATCACTGCTGAGTTAGTTCACCCTCTGTCCCAGCATTTCTGTGCTTCCCTTTCCCCTCACCAAAGCTGATAAACTTACATACAAGACGTAAGTATTTTATCCTAAGACATCTCCAACCTAAACATAGGGATGGGCTCAGTAGACAGAATGACTGGGTTGCTGCAGCCATTGCCCAGTGCCAACTTCCCTGCTTCACAAAAATGATAGTTTGCTGTCCTTTTTCTGTGGGTTGAGTCATTTTTGTCTGACTTCCTGAAATTAATGTGAATTAATACAAACTTGACCCTTGGAGGTGAGCATTTCATTTGTGCTTTGCATTCCTATTTATCCTGCTCAAAGTCCTTCATCTGCTTGCCAGGCAGGGAAGTGCACACCATGTTTTTTCTTTCCTCTTAGAAAGGCTCAGCTTTTTCTCTTGGCCATCTCCAAGCCAAAGAAAGAATTGGTTCCCTTCACTAGGGATTCATGGACAAAATTTCCATATGCTCAGTCGCTCTTAGAAAGGAGGTTCGGTGTCAGAGAGGGGAGGGTGGTGTTTACAGCATCTCCAGGGTGGCATTGTATTTTTTATTTTTTTACATTTGTTCATTTTTATTCACAACCTGTTTTTCAGTACAATTTTCCACCTGTTCCCATTTCCAGTCGGGTTATACAAGTGCTAAGTGGCAGAAAGTTCTGGAATAACTATACCAAAGAAGGAAAACAAAGCAAAGCTGTGAGATAAGTTGCATGCAGCAGGTCCCAGAACAGCATTTTAACTCTATGGAGACCTGTCATCTCAGAGGAGGGATTTTGGAAAATATCCTTCACATTCCCAGCTCTGTTAATGGAAAGATGGTAGAGATAGCAAGCAGGATGCCGCTACAAGACAAGACTGGCTTATGTTTCCAATCCTGGGGCAGTTGTGGACTTTGACCTGCCAAGTGTGCAGGCCTTGGGTTACAGTGTCTGAGACAGCACACCAGACTCTGCATTTGAAACACTGCCTTGTGCTCTGTGGATGGACACAGAGTCTAGAATTGGCCATTAGTCACAACAAAATATTTGGGATCTGAAAATGTCATTAATTGCTAGATTACTTTCTGTAATTTTGTTTAAAATTGAAAATCAAATTGAGAATCAAAAATATGGGTCACACTTGGTAACTTGTGTGCGTGTGTGTGTGGGGGGGGGTTTCTTGGGGCTTGAATTCAGGGTCTGGGCGCTGTCCCTTAGCCTTTTCACTAAACACTAGTTTTCTACCATTTGAGCCAGAGCTCCAAGTCCAACTTTTTAGTGATTAATTGGAGGTAAGAGTCTCATGGACTTTCCTGCCGAGGCTGGCTTTGAGCTGAAATCATCTGATCCCAGTCACCTGCATAGCTAGGATGAAAGGCATGAACAATTGGTGCCTGGCTAATTCATTATTTTTGTGTGTGTGTGTTGACCTTGGGCTTGACCTCAGGATCTGGGTACTATCCTTAAACACTCCTTTTTTGGTTAAGGCTAGTGCTCTACCATTTGCGCCACAGTTTAGCTATTGGAGATGAGTCTGATGGATTTTCCTGCCCAGGCTGGCTTAGAACTGTGATTTCCAGGTCTCAGCCTTCTGAGTAGTGAGGATTACAAGTGTGAGCCACCTATGCCCATAGACAATAAAAATGAATTAAAAGTGAATTTATCCATCCATTTTTAAGGTAAGATTACTGGGAAGAACACAGAAGAAGGTATTTTGCTACTTTAGGATTATAGGCATGGGCCACCAATACTCAGCTGTGCTAATATTTAAAGTTCATGCACCTAGCAAGCTGAGTTCCCCCTCCTGGGAGACAAGACACTAGCATGCATACACTGGTACACACACACACACACACACACACACACACACACACACACACACACACACACACACAATCTTAAGTAACGTGGCCATGCTGAGTTGTGCTTCTGTTCTGTGGAGGTGGTATTTCCATTTAAGCATTTTTTTTCCCTTTTAAAGTATTTGTTTCCTTTTAAGTAAGTGTTTCTGTTGGTCGGTCTCCAATTGAAGTAGAATGAATTAGGTATAAATTCTGTCTACCTAGCTTCCTCTTCGTTTATTGACATTTTTCTTAGCAAAAGTTCTTTTGGAAAGGTACTTATATAGAAGGGCCAACAAAATGTCCTTTTGGCACAATAGACCAGGCAGGACTTATTGTACCCCAGCTGGGAAGTCTAGGGAGTGATTCGGAGACAGAACTGGGGTTCTTCCAGTCTTCACACAGAGAGGGTACATTCAAAGTGATTTAGAAGCCAGGTTCTGGTGGCTCAAGCCTATCTATAATCCTAGCTACTCAGGAGGCTGAGATCTGAGGATCACAGATCACAGTTTGAAGCTAACCCTGGCAGGACAGTCCATGAGACTATCTTTTTCCCCGCCTTCGGTCCATTATGGGGCTAAAACTCTGGGCCTGGGCGCTGTCCCTAAGCTCTTTTTTTCCCCCCCTCAACCCTAGTGCTCTACCATTTTGAACCACAGCTCCATGTCCAGTTTTCTGGTGGTAAATTGGGGATAAGAGTCTTATGGACTTTCCTACCTGGATTGGCTTTGAACCACCATCCTCAGATTTCTGTCTCCTGAGTAGTGTGAGCCACCAGTGCCTGGCCTCCAGAAGTGGAGCTGTGACTCAAGTGGTATTGAACACGAGCTTTGAGCCAAAGCAGCTCAGGGATAGTGCCTGGGCTCTGAGTTCATGCCCTGGGACTGGCACCAAAACAAACAAACAAAACAAAAATGTAAAAACCAAAATTATTTAGAGCCCCGGACCTCTGCATATAATTAGAGACATGCTTCAAGGGCATGCTTTCTGGGACCTCACCCAGGCTTTGGACACAGGAAACCCTTGAGATGGCCTAGGCTTGTGTCTTAAAAAGCCACATAGGGTTCTAGTGTATGTGCAGCCATTAAGATCATAGTGAGTTCTATAATAAAATAATTTTCAGTATTTTCTGTCTTATTCTTTAAATACATATGGGAAAAATATACACTTGGGGAAAATGGGAATGAAGCTCTCAGACATAATGTGTAGGCTGTGATTACTCAAAGTATTGGCTGAAGAGATGGGTACGAGGTCTGCACTTATGTCATTGCTTAACAAAGCAAGTAGCTTTTAGTTACTTCTAGATAAATGATTGGGCTTCAAAAGTAAATATCTGCCTCACCCCTTATCCTATCTCCCCCCGCCCCCTGCTCAGTTTCTGGGGCTTCAGTGTTCTTCTGACCTCACTTTGCTTTTCTTTGAAATAGAAGGTGAAATGGATGGTCAGTGTGCTAGCCCTTACTCTCACACCTGTCCGTGAGAGACGCAGGCTATCAGGTATTCTCACACACATTGTCCACTTCTGGATGCCGGCCTTTATTTTTCAGGGATGCTGTCATTTCTGTGATGTTGTAATTTTCCTTTTGAACACTGTCGTCTTTTTTATACCACCTCCACCCCCCATAAGGCTCAGAATGCCCAGCAGCTCCATGAACGCATTCAGTCTTCAAGTATGGATGCCAAGCTGGAGGCTCTGAAGGACTTGGCCAGCCTGTCCCGGGATATCACGTTCGCTCAGGAATTCATCAACCTGGATGGCATCTCTCTCCTCACCCAGATGGTGGAGAGCGGCACTGAGTAAGTAGCTCGTGTCTACCTGGTGTCCACACAGGCAGGTACACTGGCATGTACACTGGTGTCCAGCTGTTTCTTGCATTCCTTACCCCTACGTTTCTCAGTTTTGAAGAACAGAGTCTTGCCTAGATCAAGATACCATCCCTGGAATAATTTTTGGAAAAAGAAAATGGGCCAGGCACCAATGGCTCATGTGTATAGGCATAGCCTAGCTACTTAGGCAGCTGAGATCTGAGCATCATGATTCAAAGTTCAACCAGGAAGAAAAGTCTCTGAGACTCTTATTTCTAGTTAACCACCCAAACCTCCCCCCCCCCCCAAATGGAGCTGTAAAAGTGATACAGTACTAGCCTTGAGCAAAAAGGCTCAGGAATATAGTGCCCAGGCCCTGAGTTCAAACCCCAGGAAGAGCATACACATAAAAATAAGGCAAAACACACTTTAAGGATTAAAATGCATAGTATGGTTTAAACTTAAACACAGTAAGCATTTATAGAGTACCTAACTTTATAGTAAGGAGTAGGAAGTGGAAAAATTGTCAAAGATAAGGGTCATGCCTTGCAAACATGGATGGAGACTGTTTTATGAGCAGAACCCAGTTGGCCAGTGTTGAGGAACTGAAGGCAAAAGACTGGACACGTGGGCCTCCCTGGGAGGGGACAGTGGCTAGGGAGTGGAGGGAGCAAGTTCCTTTGTGCTCAAGGAAGGGACTGGCATTTGTGGTAGGGGAGCCCACCTTCTCATGACAGCTCTGGTTCTCTGGTGTGAGTGGGCAATAAGGAGGCAGGTGGGCCCGAGGATGCAGCTGTGGCTTGTGTGGGGGCCCTGGCCACTGAAGGCCGGGGTGGTATGGAGAGCATACAATCAGTAGGTGAGACTGCAGAAATAGTTAATGACTTTCTAACAGTGAAGTCATGATGGGAGGGTTCTCCGTAGATCTGTATTAGAAAAGGGTAAATCTCAGCGTGGGTCCTTTACATCTCTGTTCAGCACTCCAGGGACACAAAGAATGAATAACTTGCATAATGCATTCTCTCATGTCCCTCTCTCCCCATCCTACCACTGGGCAGATTTAAATTGCAGTTTTATTTTTCTCATTCAAAGATGACACATTTTACAACAGTGGAACTCTTTCCCATCTGAGAATGTTCCGTGGAATTTGGAATCTGGAGTCTGTCTTCACAGACAAGTAGAGAAGTCTCTAAAATGAAATCCAAGACCACTGACTATCTGGAGAAGGCCAGTGGTAGACATTGCCATTGGGATTTGTGTGTGCCAATCCTGGGACTTGAACTCAGGGCATGGGCACTGTTTTTAAGCTTCTTTAAAAAATTTTTTATTTTATTATAAAGAAGCTGTACAGAGGGGTTACAGTTACATGAGTAAGGTAATGAGTACATTTCTTGTCAAGCATTGTTACTTCCTCCTTTGTTGTTCTCCCAATATCCCTTTCTTCCCCTCCTCCCTCACCGCCCCCCCTCCACCAAAGTTGTCTTGTGAGTATCATTGTTGCAATGGGTCATCCTGTGTCCTTGTTTCAGTGTTTTGTTATTCCCATCCCCTCCCCAAATTAGATAAACGTATATATAAGATGCAGGGTACCAAAATCAAGTGCAGTGACAACAAGGGATATACCATAGGGAGAAGAACATACAGAGGAAACCAAAAAAATCACCAATACATTAAAAACAACAACAACAAAGAAAGACCTAGTACATAAAAGCAACAACAAAGACAGACCTCGTGTGTCCATATCTTGGGGTTCATTTCACTTAGCATCATCTTATATGGTCATATGTACCTAGCTTTCCTAGATGTATACTAATTATTGTAAATGAGGGAAACCTTGGGTCCTATATTTCTTTGGGTCTGGCTTACTTCATTTAATAGGATTTTTTCCCCAAGTCTTTCTATTTCCTAACAAATGGGGGCAATGCCATTCTTTCTGATGGAAGCACAGAATTCCATTTTATATATATATATACATATATATATATATACATATATATATATAATATATGTATATATGTTATATATATACATATATATATATATCACATTTTTTGATCCACTCATCTACTGAGGGGCATCTGGGTTGGTTCCATATCTTAGCTATGGTAAATAATGCTGCGATAAACAAAGTTGTGCTGGTAGCTTTAGTATGGCCTTGTTGGTGATCATTTGGGTAAATGCCCAAGGCTAGCACTCTACCACTTGAGCCACAGCGCCACTTCCGGCTTTTTTCTTATGTGGTGCTAAGGAATTGAACCCAGGGCCTCGAGCATGCAAGGCAAGTGCTCTACCACTGAGCCACCTTCCCAGACCTATGTGGAGTCTTTTGAGGAACCTCCATATTGCTTTCCAAAGTGGTTGAACAAATTTACATTCCCACCAACAATGCAGTCGCATTCCCTTTTGGCCACATCCTTTCCAGCATCTGTTGTTATTAGATTTCTTGATTATAGTCATTCTTTCTGGGATGAGGTGGAATCTCAGTGTTGTTTTGATTTGCATTTCTTTTATGGCCAGAGAAGTTGAGCATTTCTTCATGTGTCTATTGGCCATTCTTCTTCTTCAGAGAAGTCTCTCTTTAAGTCTTTAGCCTACTTATTAATGGGGCTGTTGTTTCTTTGAGGATTTGTTTTTGGAGGATTTAATTTTTTGAGTTCTAAGTATATTTTAGATATGAAGTCCTTAAGCTTTTTTTTTTTTTCTCTCAAGGTTACTTGAGGCATAGCTCTACTTCCAGCTTTTTGGTGGTTAATTGGAGATAAGAGTCTTAGGGATTTCCCTGCCTGGGATGACTTTGAATCTCAGATCTCAGCTTCTTGAGTAACTAGGATTACAGGTGTGAGCCACCTGCATCCAGCACCCAGCACCATTTGGAGTTCTAATGAATGATGACTGAAACTAATTGTAGCAGTTCGTCAGCACATCATCTGACAGTGGGACAAAGAAACACTATGTCTGGATGTTACTAGAAGTGGAAACAGCCGGAAGTAAGCCCAGTGAGAATGAGTTCAGAGAAAGGAGAGACTGCTTCCTGCCTGGGACAGAAGTGGGGGCAGTAGGGACAGGATTCTGCAACCACCAACACTTCACCTTCAACCTGGGGTCACTGCGCATTGCCACCTCCTGTAGTCAGCGTGTGCCACATGGTGACAGCACTGCTACCTAAGGGACAGAAATATGTGGGGCTTGCCACCTCAGTGATTGTATTAAGTGAAATCAAATGCGCACCTGCAGGAGTCTATTCACTTAATTGCTGGCTGTCTACTTACCCCGGGCAGTGCTGGCTGCTGATTGTAGGGGTTGTGCCACAGGCACTCACTGTTCACAGCCATTCACAAGGATCTTGTATAAATACTTTGTTTCTTCTTTTAGAGTTTTGGCAGTACTGGGGTTTGAACTCAAGGCCTCATGCTTGCTAGGCAAGTACTCTACCACTTCCGCCACACTCTCATCTTTTTTTTTTTTTTTTAGTTATTTTTCAGAGATTTCTTTTGCTTTTGTGCCTACGGCTGGCCTCAGACTGTGGTACCTATGTTTTCCACGTAGCCAGGATGGCAGATGTGTATCACCATGCCTGGCTTATTTGTTGAGTTGGAAGCTTGCTCACTATTTTATTTTATTTTTTTTTGTTGTGGGGCTTGAACTTTGGGCTTGGGCATTGTCCCTGTGCTCTTCAGCTCAAGGCGAGCGCTCTACCACTTGAGCCACAGTGGCACTTCTGGTTTTTAAGTGGTTTATTGGAGATAAGAGTCTCACTGACTTTCCTGCCTGGGCTGGCTATGAACATGATCCTCAGATTTCAGCCTTCTGAGTAGCTAGGAATATAGGCATGAGCCACCGGCGTCCGGCTTGCTATTTTTTGCCAGGCTGCCCTGGCTTCCATCTGAAATCTTTCTAAACTCTACCTTCCCTATAGCTGAGATTATAGGCATGTGCCACTGTACCAGGTTGTCGTGTGAATGAATACTCTGACTTTATCAGACTGGCAATAGTAACTGCGGTGATAATGTGAAAATACAGAGGGCAGATGTTTGTTTGTGACAGGATGCAGGGCTGTGGCTGAGCCTGGCAGGAAGACAGTGAGCTATGACTTTTTTTTCTTCATTTCCCCTTCCTGTTAGTCTGTTAGGGCTGTCCTAACACTTTACACATTGGGCTTATCTCATTATTTGTAGGTGGGAAGAGCAAGCTCAAGGTTGAAGGGTCGTCAAGCTTTGTTTCTTCGAGGGCCTCTCTATGTGGCTTTGGAAGATGGCCACCTTCTCCCTGCCTCCTCACATGGCCTCTCCTGTGTTTGTATGTACATGCAGCCTTGTGTCTCTCTGTATCCAGATTTGATCCTTTGAAGGCTCCAGAGTCCAAGGACAGTATCATTCTGGATAGAGAGAGAGAGAGAGAGAGAGAGAGAGAGAGGTTGGCAATTCATTACCCTCATTAAAGTGGCACTGCCACTGTTGTTTTAAGAGCAAAAACAATGGGTATGTGTATGGATGGGGCTTTGGGGTCTGCATGCCATCTTCAGGTGCGGTGTTAACATACAACATTCCTGCTTTCAACCACAGCAATCAAATAACCTTTTCATCTGACAGAGGTATCATGGGCATTCACATTTTAACTGTTCATCCTAATTAGTTATCATTGCAAGTGGCTGCATGCAGTCGTGTTTTGCAGGGACAGGCAGACAGACACAAGGCCAGATCTTTGGAAGTGTTACTGTTTCACATTGTTCACACCCGATTCCTGGGAAGGATTGTCTTACCTCTGGGTCTCCTTCAGTTCTTCCTTCACTGTTTTATATAAGTTCAAAGCCAAGTTGCTTTGGAGATGGGGGAAGGAGGAGCTGAGCCTCAGGTTCCCTTTCCTGTCTTTTGCAGTCCTCAGAGATGGCTCATTTGATCCAAAGCGATTTATCAGAACTTTTGCTCAGATTTAAAGAAAAAAAAAAAAAGAGAGACCGAATGAAAGATATTTTTTCTTATAAGGCAACCTGG